CCGCCATTACGCCGACAAATCGTTGAAGGTAAGGACACCAATCTAGCCTCCCTTCTTATTCCTTACTACGAGGTGCAGGAACAAACTTCCGCCTCGTACCAATCTCAGAATAACGACAACAGACTGCGTCAGTCCCTGTCTATAGGGGAGTTTATCACGGCTTTCGGACGTTATAAACGTGCAATGTGCCAGGCCTACCCGGCACGCAGGGAAGAACTCGACCAATATGAATCCATCATTGTAAGCATTTACAACGTATATGGCAGCTGCTTTTACGAGTACCATAAACTGTTTTCGTTGAAGAGTGCCAATGCTCTACATCTACATGGCCTCGGAATGTATTGGGGGAAACGTGATCGCGATCTGCTCCAGCTAGTGTCTTCAGGGGCGCAATCTAGAATGTGCAAGACATGTGGAGAGGTTTCTCATGACACCAATTATTGTCCGCATAACTCCCAACAAAAGATCACAAACTCTTCTTCTAACCAACACCAAACTGTAAAGAATCAAAAGGGAGTTGACGTGCGCGGTTGGAATAAAGTATTTCATAACGGGGCCGAAATATGCAATAACTTTAACTCCACCAAGGGTTGTTACAAAGAGGACAGCATGTGTTCATGGAGTCATGTATGTCTACAATGTAAGAGTAAGGCCCATGCAGCATGGGAATGCAAAAAGGGGGGCAAACAGAAAGATCAGGAATGACAACTAAAATCTTCACCGGACAGGGTACTTCCAAGTTCACGACAACAAACCAGTCATACCCCCGTCAATGTCAAACAGCTGTCTAGGGAATTAAAAACGCACAAAGACAAAACTTTTGTTAAATATCTGGTTGACGGTTTTACATATGGCCTTGACACTAAAGTTAATAGTGTAGATATTCCCACCAAAGTATGTAAAAACTTGCAGTCGGCGCTAACACAACCCTATGTCGTGACAGAATTACTAGAATCAGAACTGGAAAAGGGCTTTGTCGCGGGACCTTTCATTCTACCACCCTTCCCATCTTACCGTGTGTCTCCCCTAGGAGTAGCTCAAGCAAAATATTCAGATAATAACTGCCTGATTGTCGACCTATCCGCGCCACACAACGACGACGTACATAGCAGCATAAACAATTTAATCGACAAAAAGGAATGTTCATTATCATATGTAAGAATAGACGACGCTATTACACAATTAGTTATAAACGGACGAGGATCAAAAATGTGCAAGACTGATATTTCAGACGCCTTTAAGGTAGTACCTATCGCACCGACCCAACATCAGTTATTTTGCGTGCAATGGCAGGACAAATATTACTATTATACGCGGCTTGCATTTGGATGCAGATCCAGCCCAAAGATTTTTGATAACTTATCAGAGGCTATATGTTGGATCGCCCAGAACAATTACGGTATCAGTTTCATTTTACACCTACTTGATGATTTCTTAACAGTTGACAAACCAGACTGTGACGCAAATAAAACTATGAACTCACTGTTGTCAATATTTGAGAAACTAAACATTCCAATTGCTAAGCACAAAACCGTAGGACCTACAATGGTTCTAGAATATTTGGGTATCATACTCGATTCAGACAACATGGTAGCAAGACTGCCACAGGTTAAAATAGACAGAATACGGCAATTATTGATAGAATTTTCACAAAAGAAATCATGTACTAAACGCGAAATGCTACAATTGCTGGGACATCTTACCTTCGCAAGTCGTGTTATCCCCGCGGGCCGATCATTTATTTCATACCTATTGGCCTTGGCTCATTCTGCTTAGGAGTTACATCACTACGTTCATCTTAATATGGAATGCCGTGAAGACATGTTTATGTGGATCACATTTCTATAGCAGTGGAATGGAGTATCTATGTTCCAAGACACAGGGCGCATCAAGGCTTCAGACATGTCGTTATATACCGATGCTTCATCTACCATAGGATATGGAGTTTTTTTCCGAGGATATTGGTTTTGTTCTACATGGCCAGAAGAATTTCCATTAATAAATGATGACAAATTATCCATGGCATTCCAAGAACTTTACCCGATTGTGGTAGCAGCCATTTTGTGGGGGCATTGGTGGACCAACAAACGTATTATATTTTTTTGTGACAATGAATCCACTGTGCACATTATTCGAAAGGGCCGGTCAAAAATTCAATCAATTATGCAGTTAATGAGACAATTAACATGGTATGCAATCAAGAACAATTTTGCTATACATGCAGAACATGTACCTGGGAAAGACAATAATATAGCTGATGCATTGTCTCGATTGCAGCTGCAGCGATTCCGTCACTTGGCCCCAGGAGCACAGCCACACCCCTGCCCTTGTCCTCCAATCTCAACAGTGATGTGGAATTACAGCAGGAGGTAGGAAAACTGATCGATCAGTCAGTAGCATCATCAACAAGGAAGAGCTACTACACAGGTTTTACGACTTTTATGAGGTATTGTGCTTTAAACAATCTGACAAAACCCGGATCTACAGCCTTACCCCCTTGTCAGAACAAACGTTAATTCAGTTCGTTACATTCTGCAGCTATGTACTCAAGCTTCAATTTTCTACCATAAAACTGTATTTATGCGGTATTCGATTCCAATATTTATCTCAAGGAGTGACTAGTCCATTCTACGCTTGCGACGCTAATCAAGGCACAACAGGGACATTAGCCCGACTTCAACTGGTGATGAACGGCATTAAAAGATCGAAGGCACACTCAACTAAACGGATACGTTATCCTGTGACCTTCCAGGTGCTGTCGTTGTTATGTAACCGGTTACGTAATGGTTTGTTCGACACCAATACTAATGCCATGATGGAAACCATTTGCATTACAGCGTTCTTTGGATTCCTTCGGTGTGGAGAATTCACATGTACGTCCAAATTCGACCCCGAAGTGAATTTAACCATGGGTGATATCACTATTTATCACGATCATGCTATTCTCGCCCTCAAGAGATCTAAAACAGATCCTTTCTGGCAAGGTGTTAATATTAAACTGTTTTGTAATGGTAAAAGGATTTGTCCAAAATGTGCACTCGAACGACACTTACAAGCATCAAGTAGGGAAGGCAGAGCCATCCCCACCCACCCCTTGTTCGTATCGAACAATGGCAAGGCATTGACCAGGTGTGATTTCATTAATTTGTTACGTCAAACTCTTCAGGCTTGTGGTCTGCCTCAGAACCTATACTCCGGTCACAGTTTCCGGTCAGGTGCAGCAACAAGCTCGGCGGAAAGTCGGACGGAAGATCACCTTATCAAAACAATGGGTAGATGGTCATCGGATTGCTATTGTCGATATATTCACACACCCGATTCCGCCATCAAACAGGCTCAACAATCCATGTCGGGATCACAGACATAATAGACACGTTGTGATAATAAGGGAACATCCTCCAGCATAGTTGGTTACGACATGCTCTAATATTAGTAACAAGGTGAGCCTCAATTGGCCAGAGTGATATTCTAAGTTATACACGTGCTGTGTACTATATAACATCACCTATACTTTCTGTTTACTCTAGATGATAGTAATTGAGAGTACATCATATAAGGAGTGTTATCACATGTTCAACTATATAACCCAGATCATGGCTACAGTACAAGCCCCGCACCATGTGGAACCCACCCAGGTCCATATAACTTGCAATGGAACCAACACGTACAATCACAAGGCTGTTTCATTACGTAGCTAATTCTGTAAAATCAACCTACTGAGGGACCCCTTGAGATGACGTAGAGGTCACGTGGTTCAGTGCTTAGAGAGTTATTTGGTTCAGAAAGACGTATTCATAAATCTATAAATCAAACTTAACATTTCAACGGAAATTCAACAGAGCCAGACTTCGTAACAACTACGACAGGATAGAGTGTTTATTCAGGACTCTTTCTATAGTGGACTCAACCGTGGTATCAGCACGTGGTTGCTTTACAAGGTTTGTTTACCTTTCGGTGTTCGGGTCACTGACTTCGGGGTTTGACCCCACACACTTGCGCTGATTTAACATCAATTCTGGTGACAGCGATGGAGCCCAATTCTGGGACAAATTTCGTGCGTATACCCAATTCTGGGTCGAACATTTCGCCAGGCCGGTCCATTGAGACCCAGAACTTAGTGTCAGACGATGTCTGCACAGTCGAGGCCACACTGGAGAACATTGAAGGCGGCCATTTTGTTGGCGCCAGGCCTTCGTCTTCGACGAGTCGCATAAATTATGCTAATGAGCAAACGCGAGATGTGCGCGAGACTCGGCGAGAGGCTCCAATGACAACTTCCGGTTCCGTTTGTGTAGAACAACAACTGCTTCAGCAAAATGCGCTGATGATGAGACTAATGTCGCAAATGGCAGAGCAGAATAGTTTCAGGCAGAGTATTAGTGCAATGGCACAACACACTCGCGCACTGTCAGTGCATTCATTCACGGACCTGCTTGATCAGGAGTCCAACGAAGCTTCCAACGAAGCGAATGTTGATCATGAAATTGACAATGAGATGGGTGATGATCAAGATAGCACTCATGACGGAGAAACGGTTGAAGAATTCGGCCAAGACATTGAGCCGGACGACGCCGAGGCTTTGCTAGATAGAGACAATATCATGGGTGACATGGAACTCTTCTACAATCAACGGGAGAAGTGCTCACCAAACATCAGTGCTCGTCTAGCGAAACTGGTGAATGATGGAATCCAGTCCCAGATTGGCGAGGACAAAAGGAAAGACCTCCTTAACAAACACCTGCGACCAGGTAATTGTGAAAACTTGGTGGTACCTAGAGTGAACAAAGGTATCTGGACAACGTTGTCCAGGAAGGCCAGAGACACAGACATAAAATCTCAAAATTCACAAAGCCTCATTTGTAAGGCGTTCTTCCCCCTACTGCACTTAACAGGACAATCTGTTAAAAGGGACTAACACTGGCCTGGACCGGGATACCACAAAAGGGTGTTTTAACCTGGCTAATGACTCCTTCAAAATGCTCCAGGTAGCATTCAGCGACATGTCGCAACGTCGGAGATTTGCGCTGCGGCCAGAGCTGTCAACAGAGTATAAGGCGCTGTGTTCATCGGACAATCCGGTGACAGAGAGTCTCTTTGGAGACGATCTTGAAAAGCAAATAAAGGACATAAGTGATGCTCAGCGGGTGAGTAAGAAAATCGCGCAAAAACCTCAAAACAGAGGGCACAGATTCATGCCGTACACCAGAGGCAACACCCACAGACGAGGAGGATACCAGGCGCCAGCGTCAGGGTATCAAGGGCAATCGACAGGGTACAGCCAGTCGGGATCCAAGCCCTACTCTAGGGGTGGCAGAGGCCATGGACACAGATCCAGGGGTGCTTTTTTAGAGAATCGCTTCCCCAATTATATAACCACCGTGCATAAATATGAGGACACGATCAGTTACGAACACTTAGGTTATTACATTTGGTAGGAAGTATACTTATATATACACGTGACATTTTAAAAGCATATTGTGTAACCAATTAAAATATTATTTCAAAAAATTGTACCATGTAAAATTGTGTTGCCATGACAAACGTTAACATCATTATCGTAGTAACCTTCCTTTAATATTGTATTTTCATTTTTATATATATATATAGACTTGGGGACACTCAGCTGTTCTTCTTAATTCATCATTCACATCTGAGTTTTGGACTTGTTATGTTTTATAACATCTTTCCCCAAGTTCAAATAATTTCATATATCAATTCATCATTCGATTCATGAGATATTCAGATCTCAAGGTTACATAACAAAGAATCTCACAAGTTCTTGCAAACATTTGCACGGTACTGTCTCATGTACTGTGATGGAATTCACTGCTGGGTGGATTTCCGGATTTGTGAGAGCGTCACGTAGTGTTCTCGAAGAGTTCCTGTAACTTGCATTACGGCAGTTTATCAGTCCCCCTCCAGCTGAGCGAGGGCCATGCAGCGGCTGAATCATCTATACTGGTGGTCACCTTACACTGTCGCACACTGATCAGGTCCAGAATAGGGTGGCCACAACTCAGAAAGATATAAATCTACTTATTGATAGTCATCATCTGACTCATACAAATTTCAGTAAATGATTCAAAAAATTTGTATAAGGGGAACAGCGGAGTTAGTGTTCAAGTATTTAATGTGAAAGTTGCCAGCATTTGCATCTAAACTTTTATCTCAGTGTATAAAATGACAACAACAACACAATAAGAGTATTTAAACATGATTCAAATCAAAGACTAGAATTATGTCAGTGTGACATTACAGCCGCTCACCACTTTAAATTTAATTGCTTCAGTGACACGTTGAGCATCAATATCTACTATAATACCTCGGATATGTGTTCTGTATTCTGCTAATTGAAAAATCAGGTCATGTGATGATGTTGCCTATGGAATTTCCAAGATCAATCACCTCTTAAATGATGCATTAAAAACATTCTCCCTCTCCTCCTTTTTCACCCTCTTTAAGTGTGACGCATTATTGTAATTTTCATTAATTAGCATCCTCCGATGATGTGACATAAACATTTACGTGCATAATGGCAATCGGTGAATGGATAATAAAGAATAGGTGCATTTTGTGCTTGTGAAATGAAGGATAATTAACAGTAGTGGGAAAACATGCATGGATAAAAGAGACATTGTACTCCTTTTATTTTTATTTATTTTTTATTCATATCAATAATAATTATTAATATATAAAGTGACTTTATTTACTGTCATTGAATATACAAAATCTCACAAATGTTCTTGGAATATATTTGAATTATATTTCCCAATGCGACTTTACCAACGTAAGAGTTATTTCCCTTACACCGGATTAGATAATATTTTGACACAGCGCAAATTCTTGTCAAACAGCTGCGGCAGTTGTGTCATGTTCTTAAATTGATACATTTTCATAAATACATACACCAGAAAAAGTATGCTGTGTTATAGAAATGTTTGATAAGCATACACGGTTCACATATTGTCTCGTCTCAGAGCCATTCCCGTTATCAACCTAAGCACGATATGTCATATTACGTTACCGTTTGAAACATCAAAATAAAGGTTATACTTCATCACTCATACGGTTTATAAGTATATATATTTAATCTTCCTTCTACAGACAGCGTCAATGCTTGACAGTCTTCACATGTGCTTTCTCGAATCATGTGTGTTTCACACACTTAAACCTCCTCAGGCCTCAATCCGAGTTGCTAAAACGCCCAAACCCAGTGCACGAATTTCACCACCACAATACTTTATTTAAAGTATGGATTATTATTTGGAGAAGAATATCAGAAGACTTTATGTGAGTGTCAGAGATTCTACTTTCTATTTACGATAATGAAACTGTATAGCGGAAGCATGAAAGACTGAAATATGCGCACGCACCCCGAACGGAAGTGGGTCCGTCATTTCGTTCTCGGAACAGAATTAATAAGCCGCTCGGCTCTCGCCAAGAGCGGCTTAAAAACAATCAAATTAGGTTAATTAATAGAATTTCACCTGTATCCAGGTATTTTCACTGTTTTACCTGTGTTACTGACATATTTTTGGTATGAGTTGTTTACATTAGTATACTAGAGACTCTATACTTTAATTTGATATATATATAATACATGAAATTCCATCAATAAGTAAGTAAATGGCACCATAATTATCTACTGCACATTAAAACAATTAAAATTACTTGGTGTATAGCACTAGTAACCCTTAAGTTACATGGTGATGAAAGGGTTAAGCGTTGTACGTGGCAGATTTTTTTCAGACCATTTCCAACTTCGAGAGTAATGCACAATTTGATTGGTCATCAAAGGTCAGCACCAGCTGCAGCAAAATACACGCTAGTTGATTGTTTAATTTGGGCAGTTATTTCGATATCTGGCCCGTTTACATTTTTGGAAAACGAGGTGAGAGACATTTTTGAACTGGAGTCATTTTTGAACCCGCTTTATCATAGAAAGGGAAATCAGAAAAAAGTATGCACTTATACAGTGGGAAGATCTACTTTTTACTGTGATCGACACGTGTTGTATTCTTGTGCCACAGAAGAATGCTGGCGAATACCAATGTGGTGATTATAATAAAGCACGATACATTGGCAAAGTGTACAATGCCGTCATTTGTGATTTGAATGGTAAGTAAAATACAGTAACGATCACGATCAGTATATTTTATTCATATCTAGACACAATTATGTAACACAGACTATATTTGTTCATTCTGCCTGTTTACAGTAACGATAACAAAAACAATCGGTGTGAGGTGGGGGAATGAACGTTCGCGTCAGCCGTATCGTTATGTATGCGTTTTGAAAGCCTCGTGAAATCATTTTTTTATTTTTTATTTCCCTTAAAAGATCGTAAAACAGAGAATTTACGCATGTATTATATCAATATATAGATGTACAGAGTATATGGCCGAATCTACATTGTTTGTGAACCATCATTATGATGCATCAGATTGAGATTGCATGCTTAACCATGAACAAACAAATGTAAACAATAAGCCTTGCGGTAATCCGAGTCCACATATATAAATAAAGCATGTACATGTCGGGACATTCAGCGCAACTAAACATTTTTTATCATTAACATTCCTATATTTTTTTCTTGAAAGGAGCAAAATATGTATGTTGCAGAAAACAAAACAAAGCTTAATGAAATAAGGGATGATCCCATCAAGAGGAATGACATGAAGTTCCTGTACAATCACTACAGTATACTTATACTTTTTTGAAACTGTACTCTATATTGTACATAATTGATAATTTTGTTTCATGATTTCAGCACAGCCAGATGCAGGGAATAACATACAGCCAGATGCAGGGAATAAGATTAATGATGATGGTAAATTAATGTTTTTGAAATTTGCAAAAGATTATAAAATTTCGATTAAATATATTTTACATGTAACCCAGTGTACTTTGTACATATAATATATATACATGTATATGCACGTAGCCTACCTACGTACTGTGTTGTACAGTCAAGTGACCTTGACATTGTCCTTTGTTGTTATGTAAATGTCTGACACTGACCTGGACTTTGGACAGTACGCAATGCGACAACTTACGTAAGTAGTTTGATGGACTGGAAACACATATTGCAATTTCCCGCCTGTTCTTCCTTACTAACTTCCTGTTAAGCTGACCACCCTGATACGTGAGTCAGTATGTGTCTGGCTCCCGAGGGCGACACATCCCTTATAGATCTAGTATGGCCATGTTTCTACGACTATCATTGCCAGTTTGCCATGAAGGCAGCTGCCGCCCTCAGAGACAACAACCAAAAATTTCGTTGGGAACTGAAGGACCAAGGTCTCCTAAGTATGGTTGTAGGCAACACTAGAGTAAACACTTGTCAATTGTGTGGATTAACTTCCCACTCTACTCATTTCTGCCCACGACAGAGGGAGAAGTACAGCCATGGCCAGCACAGCAACAGTTATTCATCACCCTATGCTAAGAACACTAAAGGAGACAAGGAAACAGATAGGCTTGGATGCCCCAAAGTTAAGGTAAATGGAGCTGAAGTTTGTAACAACTTTAATGAAGGCGTGTCAATATGGGTCCAGTTGCGTATTTACTCACATCTGCTTAAAATGTAAATCGACTAGCCACGGGCTAAATCATGTAGGAAAACTGAAAAAATCAAGCAGAGACCAATAACCAATGACTCGAAGTTCAAGCTACGACACCCATCAACGTCAACAGACTCCGGTATGAGCTCAAAGGCCATACAGACAGAAAATTTGTGAATTATTTGTGTGAACGGCTTACTTACAGTTTTGACACTATGATCACCGATAACCCTCTACCAAGTAAGGAATGTAGAAATCTTCAGTAAGCCTTGAAAGACAAACAAACTGTGACAACCTTAATTAACAGTGAAGTGGCAAAAGGATTTCTACAGGGTCCTTATGACAAGCTCCCTTTCTCAACCTACAGAGTGAGTCCCATAGGTGTGGCTTATGGTAAATACTCGAGGAAAGCCCGTCTCATAGTGGACTTATCTTCACCTCATGATGACGAGGAACCCCCCAGCATCAACGACCTGATCGATAAAGATAGTTGTTCTCTCTCATACGTACGTATAGAAGACGCCGTTAAATTGATTCAACTATTAGGTAAAGACACAACTTTGTGCAAAACTGACATATCTGATGCATTTAAGCTGTTACCTATACACCCATCACAATGGCATCTGTGTGGGATATGTTGGCTGAATAAATATTACTATTATACACACGCTTGGCTTTTGGCTGTCGGTCAAGTCCGAAGATTTTTGACAACCTTTCATGCGCCATCTGTTGGATTGCACAGCACAACATTGGAAGTGCACACATATTACATCTTTTGGATGATTTCATCACTTTCGAAGAACCAGGTAAATGTGGGAATAGGAACATGACATTATTGTACCATATTTTCAATATCTTGAACATTCCTATGGCTCTTCATAAAACCTGTGGACCGGTGTCAGAACTGGAGTATTTAGGTATTATCTTGGACTCGCATCACATGGAGGCCAGACTTCCAGAGGACAAGTTAGAGAGGGACATAGAAATGTTGAAATCATTCCAAAATCGACAATCATGTACAAAAAGAGAATAATTGCAACTTTTGGGGCATTTGAATTTTGCTAGCAAAGTAGTGCTTCCAGGAAAAAGTTTTGTATCTTATATTATCAGGTTGTCTACTACAGTGAAAGCCTTGCATCATCATGTTAAAATCACCAAGGAGTGCAGGGAGGACATTAGGATGTGGCTAACATTTCTGCAGCGTTGGAATGGCTCAACTATCTTCTAAAACCCACAAGTCATAATATCTGAGGACATTCAATTGTACACAGATGCGTCAGGCACCCTGGGTTTCGGAGGGTACATGCAGCGAGAGTGGTTCGCACAGGCTTGGCCAGAGATGTTCCATAAACATATACAGTTTGAAAGACTTGTCTATATCATTCAAGGAACTTTATCCTATAGTAGTAGCAGCATTGATATAGGGTCATAAATGGAGAGGACTACGTATATTGTTTAGGTGTGACAATACAGCAACTGTAGCCATTCTTCAGAAACGACGGTCCAAAGCGTCATATATTATGCCATTAATGAGACGTTTGACTATGTGTGCAGCTATTAACTCTTTTGTTATCCAAGCATATACCAGGCAAGCACAATGTAATCGCAGATTCATTGTCTCGTTTACAGATGGCAAGATTCCGAATGCTAGCTCCAGAGGCCAACGCCCTTCCGTGCCAAGTACCACAGCCTGCAGAGGTCTTCTGGGACTAGAATCCGTCGTAGAAGACCTATGGAAGACAGCCGTAGCTCCCAGTACTAGACAAGCTTATGAAACCGGGTTTAAAACATTCCTCAGGTTCCTCCTGATGGCAGGTACTTGGCCCAATGTAAATCTGACAGACATGCAAGTCACAGAAGAGATGCTTATATACTTTGTGGCTTACGTACTGTTATAGTATCAATCTGTCGTATGCTACTATTAAATTATACGCGTGTGGTATCAGGTTCACGTGTCTAAGAAACAACATATCTTATCCTAGCAAAGCTAACTCTAGTCGTATGCATGCAGTGCTAGGAGGTGTTAAACGTACTCATACTAAGGTTAGCAGACCTCGGCACCCTATCACCTTTAACATACTCAAAGATACATGTGAATATTTACGGAAGAACTCAAATTCTTTTGAAGACTTGATGTTGGAGACGGCATGTATCGTGGCTTTCTTCGGCTTTCTGAGATGTGGTGAATTTACTGTGAACAAAAAATTCGAACATAGTGTTCATTTGTGCGTCAATGACATGACTATAAGGGATGAATGCGTAAGGTTACATCTAAAGAGCTCCAAAACCGACCCGTTTAGAGAGGGCGTAACCTTAAAATTATTCAAGACTGACAATGTGATATGTCCATATGTTACCTGTTCCAAATATCTCTCAGTCAGGCAACGACAGACCCCGGCTCCAGAGGATCCTTTGTTCGTTACTGATAATGGTAATGCCTTAACACGGACAATCTTTATTGAGAAATTCAGGCATGTACTGGAGTGCATTGGCATTAACTCTGACCTTTACAATGGTCATTCCTTTCGCATAGGAGCGGCAACTTCGGCTGCAGCAGCTCATATCGAAGCCCATCTTATCAAAGTGTTAGGGAGATGGTCTTCTGATGCATACTGCAGATATATTAGAACACCACAATCCTGCATTAGAGATGCACAGAAAGCACTCACCCATACTTGATAGAACATTATAATTAACAGCTTTTTTAACAGTAAATGTAACATTATTATAGCTTACATATAGTTTGACGTTTTCATACGCCTATGCTGCTTTATCAAGTGCAGGTTGCATACATACATATGAGGTCAGCATGTGGCTTCTCATATATATACTAATGTACGTTACATATACGTGACTGTTGGCACAACATACAGACTGATACATACTAAAAAAACGAGGTCAGCATTTGGCTGCTCGTTTAAGATATGTGACTTTTAATAGGGCAATATGTATACTATACAAGTATGAGGACAGCATTTGACTGCTCATACTCTCGTAGATAATCTGACCTCTATAGAGAGTTATCACTATGTCTTATATGATATGCTTATAGATTTGACGGCTACTTATAACAATGACTCGTGTATGATAACTATAAGTAACCTTTTTATATGTACATGTATATATTTGTTTTGGTTGCTTTTAAAAAAAAACAACTTAACATGCTTTTTCATTAAGGACACTATTTTTTGTAAAAACGTTAATAACCTAGGTCAGAAAACTATCTATCTATTAGAAGCCAATTTTGGGGCACTCAGTTACATTGTTCACTCAGTTACATTGTTCACTCAGTTACATTATTCACATAATACAACTAAGTTTTGGCCTTGTTTTCCCCAAAAATGTGATGATATATTTATTTCACAATATTCAGATATTAATGGAAATTATTCTATTACATAATATTGGGATACAACAACACAGACTGGAGCAATGTAACCAAAGAGTTACAGCCAGTCAGACTGGAGCAATGACTGGAGCAATATAGCCAAAGAGTTACAGCCAGTCAGACTGGAGCAATGTAGACAAAGAGTTACAGCCAGTCTGGGTAAAACATAAGATTATATAAAGTTAAAACATATAAGACGCTATTCGTCTTCGGGTCTGGCCTGCAATGCACCTAAAGAAGTAGATAAGGTGGAAACGGCTCCACCACTACTTATTACATCCTCGCACTCTATTTAGTGTAACAGCAAAGCCTGCACACATATAGAGAACCATGTAATTGCCAGCTTAGTCGAGGAATAGCGTAGACACTCTATACCGTCACTGAGTTTGCCCCAGAAATGCCAATTTTTTATGTTTTCAAATTGTATGTCAATGTATTCTTTTGTACGATGGAAATATCAATTATGTGTGATGTAGTTTGACTTTTCTATAAATGGTATATATACAACAGTAATTAAATGTTGTACATTAACTATTTAGTTATTATTTGTTCTATTTAAACTGGTAAGCAGAGTGTGTGAGTGCGTGTTCTACTTTCGGTTTCCATGTATATTGTCCGCGTTAGAGTCTGTTTCAGTGTTCAGGGTGTAAGAGTGGGTTTTTCGTACCCGTACAGAATAAAAGAACTAAACTCGACAGGTATTATCGTTGCTTGATTACGACCCGTGTGACATACATTTCAAATAGAATTTTCATTTTTACAGTATGTGTACATCAAAAGAAACAAACATTGTAATTTGATGATTATTATACAAATTAATATTGTTCCATTTTTGTATATATAAGATTTCTACTTGACAGATTTGGTCTTCCTTGGTGAGGCCAGGTTTGGGGTGAAGCTGAGACGGGATGATTATGATCGTGCCCACAAAACAGCCAAGACTGATGAAAAACTATTAACTCTGTCTCAATTTGATAGAGTTTCTTCTGTCAGAAGAGGAAAAGGCTTGTACAACCGTGTATGGAAACATCCAACACAAGAAGAAACCAATGGATGACAAAAAAGTTGGCGCATTGAAATGTAAATTTTTATCCTGGTGAATTATGATTAATTTCTGTATGCACTGTTTACCGTCACCAAGGTACTAGTATTTTTTCAAAGCATCAAGTATCTCCCTTAAACCTTTACCTGTTGGGTTCAACCTTTGTTTGCAAACAATAATTATAATCAATGCAGACTCTCATAATATAAAAGAGAACTGGCTAGATATTTTATATACATGTACTGGGTCAGTGTTACTCTGTAGTAGTCTACATTACTCACTTTATTTATTCTCTATCAGCTCATGTCATGGCTAGATGTGGGTCGAGTCCCGGAGACTTTAACTCAAAGTCGGCGAAAATAGTAACTTCCATCAACAACAAAATCCGAAATAAGATCAAAAGATATAGAGGCCTTTTTTATGGCCGAATGTCTCGCTATTTCCATATGATGTTTGTAATAGAGACATCACTTCAATCAAATAAATATGTTTCTGTATTGAGTCTTATGTGCCTTTCTCCCAACGGAAAAAAAGAAAGAATTTCTAGTGAACTTCCAGTGGAGAACAATGGTATTCCACTGGACAAACAGTGGAAAACCAGTGATATTCCAGTAGAGAACACTTGGTTTCCCACTGGAAAAACAGTGGAACTCCACTGGAAAACACTTGGAATACCATCCGCTGGAATACCATCCACTGGAATACCACTGTTTTTCCAGTGGAATTCCAGTGTTTTTCCACTGGAAAACTGGCAAAGTTTACCACTGGTTTTCCACTAGAAAAACAGTGGAATTCCACTGGAAAAACAGTGATATTCCAGTGGAGAACACTTGGTATTCCAGTGGAAAAACACTGGAATTCCACTGGAAAACTGGCAAAATTTACCACTGGAATTGTTGTGATGCTATAAATATAACAGTTCTGGTCCGCATTCCGGTTCCGGATACTCATTTAGTCACTGTCCTGTATTGCATTGTGGGTTGGTTATTAAAATGTCAGAATGGTCAACGCTGTGTTGATTGTTTGTTCTACAACAAACTTAGAAGAACACGACAGGAACTCCACTGGTTTTTCTGTGGGGCTGGGCCTCGATATCTTATTGTCTACACCGAGTTGAGGATGTTGATCCAGTTGGATTTGGTTTTGCTTATTAGTGTTACACCTGTCGTCTGCATAAACAACGATGGCGACTGGCAAGGAGATTTTGGAGGAATTGGCAGCAAGGAGACGAAACGTGTTATGGATGCAAGGGAATGATACAATAATGCTAATGATAATGAAGCTTTTTTGGAAAGACTTTTTACGTTTAATTGATACTGTTTTGTTTATATACATCATTGTTTTAGTTACCATTTTTATGAATATCAGTAAATGAAATATTTTTTTGTGCACATTTTGTTTATTTCAAAGGAAAAAAACATATGATAAAAAGTTTATGATATGACCATTTTGATATCACAACCCCCATAAGTCCCCGAGTCCTGATATCAGGACTCTCAGGCTGATATGGGGTGTGATATCAAAAAGGTCATAAAATAATCTCTAAATATTACCATCATAAGACTGGATATTGCCAACATAAGACTGGATATTGCCATCATAAGACTTGATATTGTCATCATAAGACTGGACATGCCAACATAAGACTGGATATTGCCAACATAAGACTGGAAATTGCCATCATAAGACTAGATATTGCCAACATAAGACTGGATATTGCCATCATAAGACTGAATATTGCCATCATAAGACTGGATATTGCCAACATAAGACTGGATATTGCCAACATTAGACTTGATATTGCCATCATAAGACTGGATATTGCCAACATTAGACTTGATATTTCCAACATAAGACTGGATATTTCCAACATTAGACTTGATATTGCCATTGCCAACATTAGACTGGATATTGTCATCATAAGACTGGATATTGCCAACATAAGACTAGATATTGCCATCATAAGACTGAATATTGCCATCATAAGGCCGCTCCCTGTTAGTATCGGATATGAATCGGAATTTACACTGGACACGGCATATCGTCAATTCCAACAAGAATCGGCTTCTGAAGGTGAGCAAACATTTAAACGTACACGTTTTGGGTACTCGTCCGAATCACTGCCCTGATTTGAAACCGTCTCTCCATCACTTCGTCAACAAATAATTTCTGGCCGAGATGTCAACCTTGCCGCTTTTCTTATTTCCTATTTCAATGGCCAAAGTGACCAGAGCTGTCTGAACAATGATAAAACAGACGCCCGTTTGAACAGGACGCTCACGTTAAACGAATTCATCTTAGCTTTCGGCGTTTTCAAACAAGTCATGTGTTCGGTGCATCCACACCGACGAGTAGAGCTCGATTTATATGAAAGGGACATAGTGGATATGGGAACTAGGTATAGTTCAGGTTTTTATGAATACCATCGTCAGTTTTCTTTAAGAGCTGCCTCTCACCTACGCTTCAATAACAAAAAGATAGACTGGTCTGTGCGGGATAATACACTCTTCTGCAATATCTTCGCGAATCAAGTTCCTTCAGCGTGCAACATCTGCAACAGCACCTTACACACAACTAACTTTTGTCCAATGTCAGCTACAGACAGGAGCCAAGTTAAGGTGCCTCCACAGAGCCAACCTACAAAATCAAAGAGCTCAACTCTTGATTCTAAAGGCCCTCCTCGTGTCTCGCAAGAAGGTCAGGAGATTTGTAACAATTATAACAGGAAATTTGGCTGTAATTCTAACTTATGTTATTTCACCCACGTAATTTTTAAATTTCAAATCAATACCATTGTTTCCTTAAAATAAATTTGTATTTAAGTTCTGTCAAAATCAATCATCAAATCATGGTGCAGGATATCACAATATTACATAACACAAATTATTGAAGACATAAATTGTTGAATTGTATAATTTTTTTAGATAATAATGATATAACCAAGAAGGCAATATCAATAATAATTATTTCATTCAACAATTTTACAATTTTTTGTTTTTTATTCTTTTGTGACTACAATAGCAGCCAAGTCAGCATCCACATCCACAATACCGGAGACTACATCAGGTAAAATTGATACCAGAATGCCATTTTTCTGTACAATCCTTTCACGATATCCAGCATTTAGGTTGTCAACAAAAGTAAAGTAAGAAAGGTATTTAATTTTTATATTCAAATTATTTTTTGTTGGTTAAATACAATTTCCACAAATAATTATCAAACTATTTAGAAATAACTCAAACTTCAGTCTTTTCAGAGCTGCTGTCATCCTCCCAAAGGCCAATACTTCCTCAGATGTCTTAGGACCCTCAAAAGCATTTCCTTCACATCTTCCTCTAGAGAGACAGAGAGGAATGGTGCATAAAGCATTCAAAGGTGCTAAAATACATCATTTTAGCTTGTGCCAGGACAAATGTGAAGAAGTAAATGATGATCAAAGAAACAGCAAGCAGAAACACAGATTTAAACACAAGACGCTGATGGAAAAAGATGCTTTCAGCGAGGAAACTGGTATATGGTGGCTGGCTTAAGAGGAACATAGATTAAGGCTTATGTAAATAAGCCAGGTTTAAATGAACAAATTATTTTATACTGACTACAAATCATAATTTGAAAGAATTATTTAGGGAGTACACTGTATAGAACTTATAGAACTATTTATATAAACTAATAATTTTATGTTTATTAGGTAACGCTGTGATCATATGTAGTGTAAGGTAAAGATGTAATATGATATGTAGTGTTAGGCAATCCTAAATATAGATCAACCGCTTTAGAGCATTCTGATTGGTTGGGGTATAGTTGGTCATTGTTTTCACAGGCTCTGTAGCAGAAAGACGTCACAATCTTTGTCTTTGAAAATCACGCTACTTTGTCTTTGAAAACACGCTAAATTTCTAAATCAATCGGATATAAATTAATACGGACTGTTGTCGTTTCAACTAGTGAACTACAATCATTTGGGAATATATTACCAGCTATAGGTGGATGTGAATCATATGATTGAAACAATTTCTTAATTCTGTGGAGTCCCGAGACATAAGCGGATCCGTGAAGGAACAACAACTTTTAAGTAAGAATTCATAAGAATAATACCTACTAGTGTATTGTAGGGAAGCAATTCGTTCAGAGGGAAGGCTTACGAGAACAATATGATCGAGTGACGATCAGACTAGTATCCCATCAACTTGTAGCGACCTCTCGATCGCGGGACCATTGCTAGTCGTCGACCCAGATCCACAACTAGAAATACACCTTGGGACTCAACAAACCCAGCAAATTGGACGATAACTCAGTTACGAGAACAGTTAGCTCTAATTGGGATAATCGCGCCATCAACTGGTATTACGAAAGCGGGTTTAAAGGCCATTTACCTCGAAAACGCGGGACACATCGCGAGATGACAAACTCCAATTACTGGAGTAAATGAAACCGCAAGTAACATTCTTTCTGACTCGGCTATGGTAACAGAAGAAAACATAAACACGGATCGAAATGGCGAATTTCGGAGTCGACTTTACGTCGGAACAGGGGAACTACATTCTGATGCGGCAGGGCCTTCATCCAGTCGAAACGCATCACAACTCGCGCAAGTCACAAAGTCTACGCGGCGTAGTGATACAGCCTCTAACTCCGCGGAGCACATTCCAGCGGAAGTTGTTAACAGCAGCACAAACATGGCGGCGCCCACACAACAGGACTCCTCGGTGATTCATGGGGTCTTGGCATCTATGCAGAGTATGCAGCAAACCATCCTCGGTCTTCAACAGACGGTGAGGTGATGTCTCTCATAGGAACAAGAGACGGACGACGGGAATCGACGACGCCTATTCAGGAACCGGAATACACCCTTTCAACAGCTTACGATGCGTTGAGAAGGCTGGACACTGCCGTGACTCCGACCACACAAGGTGGGTACACCACACAAGGTAGGTACACCACACAAGGTAGGTACACCACACAAGGTATAGCTTCAGAAAGCTTGCCCCATCTAGACATAGTGTCAGATACCAATAAGAAAAAGATCCTTGAAGGCAGGTACGTAAATTTGGCATCCCTTCTCATACCAAAATATGACACCGAACGTACGGAAGAACAAATACGGAGGGGTATTTACATTAATCTCGGTGACAACGAGGACCAGAGGTTAAATAAATCTCTGAACATAGCTGAATTTATCACAGCGTTCGGTAAATATAAGCGAATTATGTGTGGGAAGTTTCCGGAAAGGAGGGGAGAAATGGATACATAATAGAGCTCTCAAATGTGTATGGTCAAAGGTTTTATGACTACCACTGCCAGTTTGCCCTCAAGGCAGCAACAGCTCTGCTGGACACCAACCAAAAAGTAAATTGGGGAATGAAAGACAATGGACTGTTGGCCATGGTGATGGGTAATATCAGAGTGAACGTGTGCCAACTCTGTGGTTTGACATCACATTCCACATCATTCTGTCCCCAACAGAGAAACAGGAAGTCAGGTCAAGGTCTCGGAAAACTGTTTGCACCTCATGCGCAGCATAACATCACACCACAATTGCAAGGATCCAAAGACACAGACAAGTACGGCCGTACTAAAATCAAAATTGATGGTGTCGAGGCATGTAACAATTTCAATGACGGGAAATGTCACTACGACACTGGATGCCGGTTCAAACACATATGTGTTTCATGCAAGTCAACCAGTCACGGGGCCAAAACAT